AGTTTTATGTTGCAGTCAGGGTTTGAAGGGTTTAAGGACAAGAAAATGGGGAGAAAAATTACAATGCATCTTGAACTTTTGAGATCCACAGACTTTTTTTTCCCCTTTCAAAAAGTCAGGAAAAAGAAGTTTTTCCACTAATAGAGCTATATGTAGTTAGTATTCAATCGTCAAGCTTTAGTGGGCTTTGTTAGTTCTTGTTTTCCTCTTCAAACTTGTGAAAGTATGAGATATATTCAACTTAAAGTATTTTGTATTTATGATCTAGGATATCCTCGCCATGTGTGGAAATAGGCGAGTGCTTTTCGATAACAAGTCTAAAGATCATTTGAAGAAAGCCGACCAATTGAAACAACTACTTTCCCTGGTAAATGTGGTCGTAGAAAATAATGGTGGAAAACCATATACAGATGACTTGTTCAAGGAATTAAAGGTATGTGTTATCAATTCAATTGACCTCTGTACTTATCCAGCAACTGGGCCACTTATTAATTGTAATGTTACATTTATAGAAAGGAGCCATTAAACTTCGAAATCAAGCAACTGAGGTTAATAACTTGGTGGGATATTCGAAGCAAGAGATATTAGAGTTGAAGGAACAAATGCAGAAGTCATATGAAGAGCAACTGAGGCGAATAACTGAAGTGGTATGTTTGATCTTTATTGAACTCTTTTTACTACTAGAAATTAATTCATCAGTCATTGATCAACTTCTATATTATATTGCCAAATGTTTGCCTCTGCTAATTATGCAATACATTTTTAGTAATAGCAAGGGATTGAGCTGGTGGCTACCTCCCACTAATCTGTTTGAGTAATACAATTCTGTAGTTATAGTAGGTTTCGTCAAAGAAACTTTTAATTGGCACTGCTTTTTCACTGGGAAATCATGGTAGATATTAGACTTTGCCGAAGGCTCCAGAGAAAAAAAGTTTGAACAATCTTCCTTAGCTTTCTAGATTTTCATGTTTCTAGACTTTATTCGGCATGTTTGGAACATCACATCGCTTACAAGCAGTGAAAAAAGTAATTTAGCTGTCTTGTTCCCTCTACCTAGAGTATCTTACTTCACTACTTCTGCATTTGTAAGTCATTTCTGCTACACATTGTACTCTGTCCCTCTCAACTTCGTAAATGAATTAATTCAACTTTGGAAAAATAGATGTGGAAACTATTCTCTAAACATCTCCTAAAAACATAACTATAGAATGATAGGATGAAAAAGATTATTTGAAAAGTCACGATACAAATACAACTTTGTTAAATTGTATGTAGTATTTTGGTGTAAGGAAGAACGTTTATAATCTATGAATTAGGTCTGCAATCTTATAGCTAGGTAGTGCCTTTGAGCTTTTTATATAGCTGTTGTTACATCTTTGACAGGTTGAGTCAAAGCTGAAGGATACAACACACAGGCTTGAAGAGCAATTGGCAAAAGAGCAAGCTGCTCGGTTGGAGGCAGAACTAAGTGCAAAAGAAGCTCAGAAGAAGTCAGATAACGAGATTCGCAAGTTGAGAGAATATTTGGAGAGAGCTCAAAGGGAGACTGAGGAGCTTCGAGGTCGTTCTGCAGATCGTGGCGTGTGTAATATTTTATGACAAAGTTATCGATATATAGACATATATATATATATATATACTCTTTTCGAAAGAATCTGCCACTAAAATGAATTTACTCTGCTTTTGACTCTTTTTCACCCTCTTCTATCATGCAAAAGAGAGTGATATTTTAATATGTTGATTATATATTGCGATATAACATTTGTGTATGGTCATGAATATCAATCAGATCAAACTGAAGGATCAAGGAATCTAAGAAGTGGACTCTCTACATGGAGGGATGGTGAGATTAGCTTTTATTGTTTGTTTTGTATTTCTCCTTTTGTTGATATTTCTTTCTTCTTTTATTGCATTATCTATTTGTTTAAACCAACTCGGTGGCTGGTTATTCGTATGATATGAAGTTATTGCTATTTTCCCGAAAGAAATGATTTCGTAGAGGCTTCTAATTGCAACCAAATGGTCTGTATGTCAGGCCGAATAATTTAATAATGGGCTATTTATGCAAATACCTGATCAGATTCACTGGTTAAGAATCTATGTGCAGTATTTGATTACTAGGGTGTGCTTTTACAGACTAATTGCCTGTTTGACCACAAGTACTTTTTTGTTTGAAAGTGTTTTTTTCCTAAAATTAACGTGTTTGACCAAGCTTTCGGAAGGAAAAACTCTATTTTTAAATAGAAGCATAAGTAATTTTTGAGAAGCGCAAAAAAAAAATGTAGTTTCTTCCCAAAAATACTTTTTTTAAAAATACACTTTCGAGAAAAAAAACATTTTTTCTCAGAAGTACTTTTTAAATTAATTAGCCAAATAAAAATTATTTCTCACCAATTTTTTTTTTTTTAAAAAGACTTTTCAAAATAAACTGATGTTAAAAGCTTGGCCAAATAGGCTTAAAATGTCTTATAATGACAAATAAGTTGGAAATAAGGTCAGAGGCATGGAGTTATGGTCTTGTTACTACGAGGTGGAGTCAAATGATCCCTGCGAATATTGATAACAATCGATCCACGAAGATTAATCAAGGAACGAGTTATGAATGTAACAACACCAAGAACACTATTAACATCGAAGAGAAAAACAAATAAAGGATGATGTGAAATAGAAATTACTCAATTAGGGTTAGAAACTAACAAGCAAACAACTATGAATTAGTTGGACACTTGATAATTCAAACAATAATCTCTAACCGGATAGCAAGAAAGAAGAGATAATTCAAGTAATTAAAGCACAATCAATTAATATCAAGAACAATCAAAGACGACAACAACAACAACAACAATTCAGTTACTAGTGGGGTTTGGGGAGGGTAGTGTGTACGCAGACCTTATCCCTACCCTAGGATAAAGAGGTTGTTTCCAATAGACCCTCAGCATCCATCCCTCCAAGAACTCCCCACCTTGCTCTTGGACTGACTCGAACTCACAACCTCTTGATTGGAAGTGGAGGGTGCTTACCATCAGGCTGTATACTAATTTAGATTATACTCAATCAACAGAACACAATCCCTAAGATAAACTAAATGACAGTAAGCATAAACTAAAATAAAGGCTCTCCATGAGCACCAATGCATCATTCATCGAATTCTACCCTAAAAATAAAAATAAGAGACTATTTATACTAGTATGTATTTGGATTTTGGACTAACAATGACCCGAATACCATTAAGCTAGTAAGAGAACTAGGGGCTAAATGCATAAAAGTCTGTTGTTTAAAATATATGCATAATTTACAATGTATTTAACGATTAGTTAATTCACTCATACTTCAAGATTAAGTATCCTGAATTTGGAGTTTAGGACTTAGGGTTTGTTTGGAAAGCCACCTGATAATCGAAATTGATGTAATTACTAGGATAGCAATTACACAGCCTAGTAATTACAATGTATTGTAATTACAATGACCTGTTTGTTTGTCATAATGTAATTACAGTGTAATTACAAGTTTACTGTTTGGTTGCACAAATGTAATTACACATGTAGATTAAATTTTAAATATAAAATTAATTGTCAAAAATAAAAAGTTAAGATTTAACAAATATATGCATTTATAAATAATATTAAATTTTAGATTTAAAATAAATATTGCTTCTTGAAAATATATTAGTTACTTATCATATATTTGTAACTAATATTGTAAAAATAATTGATATATTTTAAATTAATAATGTTTTACTTTAATGTAAGAACATCATGGACTGCATGCTTGATAAAATAATTAATATTTATAAATATAATGTCATAACATTACTCAAATATTTTACGAAAAAATAATCTATCAACTTTAACTGAAAAATGAATGGCATGCGATCTGGATTAATAAGTGGATATATACTACTAAAGGTCTAAAGCAAATAAAATGAAAGCGAAAATATAACATAAAATCCAAAATCCAATTTTTTTTAACGTAATACTCTTATGTGATATTACAACATAACATACAATAAGTTTCAACATAATTTAAGTAAATATAATTCAAAAGAAAGGAAAAACATAAGTCTATAACCTCATTCAACAATGAGATCCTATTTTAATGACATTACTCATTATAAGCTAGGTTTATTAATGATTCATTATTTCTAATATCAGGAGGAGTAATTTCAAAACTAGAATAATAGCACAATTATGCTAAATGAAGAAGAAAAAGTATGAGCAACTACATGGAATCACAAAAAATAAAGGTTGAAAAATGAGAATATTACTTAAATACTAAAAAGTAATATATTATTTTAACATAGTTAAGTTTGCATAGAACCTCATCCAATAATAAAGTTCAACTTTAATGGCATCACTCATTATAAGTCAAGTTTATGGACGACTTATTCTTTCTAAGATTACGTGGTATAACTTGTTAGGAAAATTAGAATAATAACATGGCTAAATCTAATAAAAAATAAAGAAAAACAATTAAGAAATAAATAAAATATGAGAAATTATATAGAAACACGTGAAGTAAAGATTGGGAAATGAGAAATAAGGAAATAAAAAATAAATAATGTAAAAAATAATATTTGAAAAAAAAAGCATTTAAAAACTTTAAAAAAATTAAAAATTAAAAAGAATAGAAACCAAAAAGTAAATTAAAAAGAAAAGATATCCAAAAATAACCTGGTAATTACACCATGTAATTACTAGCAATTCTCAGCTCCCCCTTGAGAATTGTAGAGTGCAATTACACCCCCTCAATTACATGCTGATCAAGTAATTACTTGGTCAGCCAAACATGTCAAAACTGTGTAATCAATTACACCCAAATCCAATTACAGGATGACTTTCCAAACATGCTCTTAGCGTCCTGAATTTTTGAGCTGCTAATTTGAAATTCAGGACTTAGTGTATTGAATTCATTTTTTCTTAAATTACACAAGTAACGGGAAATTTAGTAAAACTCTTTTCTCCGGCTCCAAAATTTAACAGAAAATACTTGAACTTACGTGCTTACACCAAATCAAATTAGTTTAACACCGTTAACTAGTTCATTCCATCTAATCTCAAAAAATAAACCCAAAATATTTTAAGAAGTTGCAAAGTCTATTGGAAAATAAACTGACACGTCCATTCAATTACACGTAATAATAGCAAAGAATTCAAAAACACCAAAAACAAGGTACTAAAGCAAAAGCACAGAGATTAAAGATTATTTATATGTTCCAACAGACCAAATTTCTTTCTCCACAGCCAAATGGATTAACCTGCATGAAAAGAAACCAAATGATTATAGTAAAAAAGATGTGGTTTCACTTTTATATTTCAAATAAACTCTTCAACTTCAGCATTGTTTTTCATGCAAATTTTTGTCTAAATTCTTATTTTCCTTATGGTACAATTAAATATGTTATTCAATATTCAAAGTTAGGAGACTGTCTAGTTAATTTTCATGCAGGTAAAACCAGTGCTTAGTTGAGCTTTATATATTTAGGGTGCGGCCCTTTTTCGAACCCCTGCATTAACGCGGAATGCCTTGTGCACGGAGCTGCCTTTTTCTTATTATTAAATTTGGAAATTTATACATAAGTGTTTGAGAGAAAGGCATACTGAGTTCAGTGAAGGTGGAGAGACTTCTTGTCAGCAGACAATAATGGATCATAATTATTAGAAGGCTGCATTCCTTCCATCATATTGAGTTGAAGCATATTTCTTGCATAATATTGCTGAAATGCATTGTAATCTTGCTCTTGCCCTGCTGCTGGCATCATGCTTAGTTCCTGCAACCTCTCATTTTCTGCTATCTGCACAAAAAATATACCAAATTCAGTCTATGAATTAATTCGATTTGACTCTGCCTTATTNAAAAAAAAAAAAAAAAAAAAAAAAGGAATACCAAATTCAGTCTATATATGAATTAATTCTATTTGACTCTGCCTTATTCTTTTCTAAGGTCAATATGATTTAATATTTCGAGTGGCATTTAAAAAGTACTACCTCATTTTTTGGAATAAAAAGGGCAGCCCAGTGCACAAAGCATCTCGCGTTCATGCAATATCTGGGGAAGGGCTACAGCCCAAGGGAAAAAGAGGGATGCAACACAAGGACTTCCCATGAGGTTACCATCCTAGTACTATTCTCGCCCAAACACATCTAACTTCAGAGTTCTGATGGAATCCAATACGTTAGTGCTAGTACATAATTAGAATGGCAAGTAAAATAAACTAGAATAGCAAGTTACACCCAGGGGCGGATTCAAGCTTGTCGAAGCGGTGACTCGGAAAATTTTACTCAATATATGTATTAATACTATACGGAAATGGATAAGTAGGAAAAAATGACACCACTTGATATAAATTGTATCTTGGTGTGTTGTTTAGGTGCTTGATTTTCCTTTAAGAGGTCAAAGGTTCAAACCTCAATTAGAACATTTTTCTTTTGCAAATATTTGACAGAGCCTTCGTGGTTATAAATTGTGATGAAGTAGAATTGAACTCGGGATCTTTTCCAATTTAAGACTCAACAAAACCAATAAACTAATTTCTTGTTTAAAAATATGATACACAAAGTTATATTTTAATTTTTCTATAAATTTCGACACCGCTTACAAAATTTCCTGCGTACGCCCCTGGACTTACACCAACATTACTAATTAGAATGGCAATAAGGAAAACAAGAGTTAATTCTTTTTTTTTTTGTGGTTATGTTATTCTTAGATCTAATGGACAGATTTGGCCAGTGAAATTCGAGAAAGACTTATTTCTTCAGTTAAAAGACCCCCTAAAAAAAACCTCACGTTCATGCAGAGTTCGAGGAATGGTCGCATCCTAAGGGTATAATATAGGCAGCCTACCCTGAAGCACAAAACAAAAAAGAAATAATAATAATAATATAGCCATAAGCGAAGAAAGGGAGTACATACCTTTGATCTAAGAAATGCATTCTCCTGTTCCAGTTGAATTTCCTATATGAAGAACATACATGTTCAAGGATGCAAATGAGTGAATATTTATCAATAATAAAGCATAATCAGAAACATTAAGGGTGTGTTTGGTATGAAGGAAAACATTTTCTGGAAAATTTATATTTTGGAAAAAAATTTCTTCCAATTGGAGGAAAATGTTTTCCCTATCAAGATAAGGGAAAATATTTTCCAAAACTTTTTTCCAATCCCATTCCCTATCCTCACCAACCCCTACCAACCCACCCC